CTGCACCAAACTTACATTCCCACCAACAGTGTAGGGGAATTCCCTTTTCTCCACACTGTTTCCAGCAATTACTGTTTGTGGACTTTTTAGTGATGGCCATTCTGACTGGTGTGAGGTGATACCTCATTGTAGTTTTGATAACGCATTTCTCTGATAATTAGCAATACTAAGCATATTTTCATGTGCCTATTGGCCATTTATATGTCTTCACTGGAGAATTGCTTGTTTAAGTCTTCTGCCCATTTTTGGATTGGGTTTTTGTTTGTTTGTTTGTTTGTTTGTTTGTTGTTAAGTTGTATGAGCTGTTTATATATTCTGGAAATTAAACTTTTGTCAGTCACATCATTTGTGAATATATTCTCCCATTCCATAGGTTGTCTTTTTTTTTTCTTATGGTTTCCTTTGCTGTGCAAAGTTTAATTAGGCCCCATTTGTTTATTTTTGCTTTTATTTCTATTGCCTGGGTAGACTGCCATAGGAGAATTGCCAAGATTTATGTCAGAAAATATTTGCCTATGTTTTCTTCTAAGAGGTTTATAGTGTCTTGTCTTATACTTAAGTCTCTAAGCCATTTGAGTTTATTTTTGTGTAACGTGTGAGAGAGTACTCTAACTTCATTGATTTACATGTGGCTGTCCAGTTTTCCGAACACCATTTGCTAAAAAGACTGTCTTTTCTCCATTGTATATTCTTGCCTCCTTTGTCAAAGATTAATTTTTTATAAGTCTGTGGGCTTATTTCTGGACTCTCTATTCTGTTCCATTGATCTATATGTCTGTGTTTGTGCCAGTACCACACTGTTTTGATTACTGTAGCTCTGTATTATTGTCTGAAGTCTGGGAGGGTTATTCCTCCAACTTCATTCTTTTTCTTCACTAATGCTTTGGCAATTCTAGGTCTTTTGTGATCCCATATAAATTTTAGGATTATTTATTCTAGTTCTGTGAAAAATGTCATGGGTAACTTGGGGATCACATTAAAACTGTAGATTGCTTTGGGTAGTGTCAGGTGATTTTAATGTGCAACCCAAGTTGAGAATCACAGCCCCATTTAATCCCAGTGAGGTTTAAATTCATGTTTGGTCGAGAATTAAAAAAGAAAAGACAAGAAAGCACTGGCACCCAGTGGTTCTTTAATGTTCAAACAAACGAATCACCTGGAGGTCTTTTAAAATGCACCCTCTTAATTCAGCAGGTCCAGGCTGAGCCTGGGCTTCTGCCTTTGTGACAAGCTTCCAGAGGATGCCCATACTGCTGTCCCCAGACTGTGCTTGAGTAGCTAGACTGTAGCTTAAATGAACAGGAGAATGAGAATTATGGCTCTTTTGGCCACGTGAGACTTTAAGTAAGAAGTTACTTTACTTCTGGAGCTTCAGATCTATAAAATGCAGACAAGCAATAGGACTTACATCACAGAATTTTTGTGATGCTTAAATGAGCTAATACAGGAAGCATGTTTAGCGCAACACAAATGATGCTTTTTAATTGTTAGGATGGCCGACACTCAGAGTGCTTACTATCTGCCAGGAATTTTCCCGGTGCTCTCAAGTGTGAACTCATTCAATACTGAAAACAACACTGCAAAGTCAGTACTAGTATTTCATCGTCCCTATTTTACAGATATTACGAGAAACTGAGGCACAGAGAGGTAGAATATCTTAATTTATAGATCACACTTCGGAGTAGCTCAGCCGGTGTTTGAACTCAGGGAGGCTCTGGGCTCTTATCTCTCCCCTGGGCTGAAATGGATCAGTGCAGGCCTGACTTTCTAGAGGCAGAGCTTGAGGGCTTGCTGTCCAGAAGGGGCTGGGACCAGCAGGTGGCAGCCTAAGGCTACGTGGGTGCCGAGTCCACTTGGAGCCTAAGCCCCGAGCCAGCGCGGTGCCAGGCATTTCCCCGCAAAACCGCTGCTGTCTCCGCACTCCCCTCTCCCCTCCACTCTCAGGTCCTCGCCTAGGAGGCCGCCCGGGGATCTGTCAGGAAAGACGAGCCCCACGGGACAGGTTCAAATCTGAGTGCCCCAATACAAGACTCGTCCCCACGGAAAGCAACGAGCGAAGCGAGTTTTCCGCAACTTCCCTTTATCCCAGGAAGCACCCGGCTCGGGAAACCTACAACATCTCCCTTTATACCGCAAGTCCAGCAAGGGACGGGGAGCCCAGGCAAGGGGGAAAGTCGGGAAGCCCTCTTGGAAACAACAGAGCAGTTTGGAGGCGCTGGGCATCCGCGTGCGCGAGCAGTGATTGAGTATCGGCACCGAGGAGACTCAATGTTAAGAGTTATCTCGGAAGGTGGAGAATTTCTAGCGGAGTCCCCCGGGAGGGGCAAATGAATTTGAAAGGCAGTGCACGGGTGGGGGTTCACCGGGTGGTTTCCATGGCGCCCGGGGCGTGGGGGAGGAATGCACCCGCAAGTTGTGGCGAAACAACTGTGGCTGTCAGGCCAGCGGCTGGAGAAGGCAGGAGTCAGGAGGGGTTGGGGGCGTGGGGGGGGGGGGGGGTAGGAGGGGAACGGGGGGCGGGGGCGGG